AAATTGATTTTTTTTATATTTATTGTTTTAATTAATAAATTAAATAATCATGTAATTACTATATTGTCTTTCTTTGGATTGGATTAGTGTGAGCCATTGGATACTAATGAGGTGGAAGAGCTGAGATTCACTTAGTCATGTGACTAAGGGACCCCCTTAGTCACCTGATCTTAGCCCGTGAGCGTGAGGAGCAAGGTTGTCAACCCGATTTAGCTCGTTGGCCAGGTCAAGCAAGTGGGTTGAGGTTAATGGACCGACCGCTTTAGTCTGGTTTAATCTGAATGTATGATAGGGATGTTCAAATGGTTACTAAGGTAATTACCAAATAAGTCTAAATTCTATTAAGCAAAATAACCAATATACCATCACATTATCATTAAGTGAGAAATTTGTCCCGGTTAGTGCATCAATTCGCAATTTATATAATGAATAACACATAACAATCAATCCAAAATTATAGTTAACCCTTAACATATATACATGTAACTAATACAATTATCTTGCATTTTATTCTTGAGTGGTTATGCAAAGTATTAAGTATCTCTATATAATATATGAGATATATAGCTAATTTAATTACCAAACCACCTAAATCAAACAAGATAAAAAAATTAACCAAACCAATTAACCAAATTATCCAAATACTACCAGTTAAAATGGTTACCACGGTAACCACACCATTTGAACACCCCTAGACTATAACTCATTATATTGTTCATACATATATAAATTATATGAAATCTCATCAAACATAGGAGTAATAACGTGTAACATTACACCAAAATAACATGGTGTACTTGGATCGAATATAAAGTGAAAATTCACCCACCTCATACTTATACAACATTAATGTTCAAAGTGCAACTTATAATTTCAAAGATTGGATTAAGCGGAAAATTTTTTGGAAATAAGCACATTTCGCAAAATAAAGAAAAAACAACATCGTTTATCGTCCAATACGATACTTTGCAGAGAATCGACACGACGGGTATATACGTCCCGTTTTTCTCACTGGGTTAGGGTTTACAACCTTGGTGAGGAGTGAGGTGGGCTCTCCGAGAGCAAGTGGACAAAGGAAATTGAAACCCATTTCTTTTTTATATTTTATTTTATTTTTATCATAATGTAATTATTTCTCTGAAAATCAAATTTTCGTCGACTACTACGGTTGGTTATTATATTCGTTGTAACTTTAGGTTACCTATGACAAAAAAAAAAAAGAATTCAATAATATCTTTAGGTTGCTCTTTTCTATGGATACTTTATTTAGGGGTCTATTCGGAATTTGAAGTATATTAGATTTTAGATGATTTAAAGATTTTAACTTTTGGGGTGTGCCTACGGTGACATGCATGTCATGGTGACTTGCACTTTCCGGTCGACCTTAGTTAGGATTAGGTCGACCTTATTTACAATTCATTCGACCTCGTAAAGGATCTGGTCGACCGCATTTAGGATTCGGTCGACCTCATATAGGATCAGGTCGACCTAATCTGTTGTTTCAGTGTAAAAACAGTTCATGGTGCCTACTTTGGATATTCATATCATACAATTGGCTAGATGGAAATTGAAGACTAATGACTTATTTTGAAGCTGGAGTGTCCCTCTACATATTGAAGTGATTGAGAGCTCGATAGGAAGTTCAGAATACCATTTTTGAACCTCATCAAAAGGCTATACCAAAACTGGGAAACTGCCTGGAAATGGCTAAGTCTGGAAACGTGTTTGTGAAGCCTATTTTGGAGCTAATTCGAGAAGCATGAATGCGAGTCGAGTTTAGGAGCCTCTACCACGTTAAATTAGGTATGTTTTTATACAAATTCAAGGCATTGGATGAAAGATTGGATATCTGTAAGACTTCAAACAAAAGGGTCGAAGTTGCTACGAAGGCTGTTTTTCTGGCAGACTTCGAGCACAAGCAAGCTGCCAGAAAAACAGCCTTCGTAGCAACTTCGAGCCTTTTGTTTGAAGCCTTAAAGCTATTCAATCTTTCATCCAATGCCTTTCATTTGTATAAAAATATACGTAATTTAACGTGGTAGAGGCCCCTGGACTTTACTCGCATCCATGCTTCTAAAATTGAGCTCCAAAGTAGACTTGACAAACACGTTGCTAGACTTAGCCATTTTCAGGCAATTTCCCAGTTTTGGCATAGCCTTTTGGCCAGGTTCAAAAATGGTCTTCTGGACTTTCTATTGAGCTCCCAAGTACTTTAATGTGTAGAGGGACACTTCAGCTTCAAAACAAGCCTTTAATCTCCAATTTCCATCTAGCCAATTGTAAGATATGAATCTCCAAAGTAGGCACCATGAAACTGTTTTTACACTGAAACAACAGATTAGGTCGACCTGATCCTATATGAGGTCGACCGAAAAGTGCATGTCACCGTGACATGCATGTCACCGTAGCAAAGTCCTAACTTTTGTATTATATATTAAAATGCAACAATGAAAAATATAAATTAGAAATTTCTATCTAATGGCATGCTATCTTAATAAAAAAATATGGGTGGCTATAAAAATATCAAGAATTTATTGGTAAGCATATTCGGTCGCAGAGCCTCCTACAAAAGCAGTCACGTTAAAACAAAAACGACAACTACATGGACTTTTGTCGTAGTGAACGATTTACATTTTAAAATTGTAATGAAAAACTAAAAATTGAACGACTCTACCAATTTCAACAAAAAATTAACTTTGTCAACCGTTCCAAAGCACGATGTGATTTAACTCCTACGACATGTTATAACATCACAATATCTCCTAAATACTGTTAAAAAAAAAAACAATATCTCCTAAATGTTTTCCCCCAAATTTTTGAAGAAAAGAGACCCAACTAAATGCACAAGATGTTAGATACATTACCAAATCAGTACTCTACTCATAAATCATAATGAATCTTCACATCATCTCAATATATTATTAAATATTAGATGCATTATGGGGGTTGAAGATTCCTGTCTGTATAATTTATTCTAGGAATTCTACAGCCGTTCATTGAAAAGGGGAACGCCATTTTTTTTATAAGTGGAAAATATATTGATGAAAATATAAGCATGAAGCTGGAAAACAAATATGGACGAACATAAATTAAACGTACATGATTCAGTTGTTGAAAGATCTGCATCACCAAACAAGCAAGTTGATTATATATGCCGTGTTTTTATACGGATTCACCGGAACGACTGTATTTTTTAATCCTTCCTAATGTTGAATATATAGTTATGCCAATGTACTAAGTCGGGCCAAAAATAATAAATAGCTTTTACCTTTTGTGTCTGTGACAATTGTAGACAAATCCATGCATGATGGTTAACTTGATATTTTACACCCTGATAAATTCACCTCTTTGTGGCTCCCTAAAAAATAATAAATACGAAAAGTTAGCCCTAAACGTTATTGATATGTTGGTTATTGACATGCTCAAATTTCAACTTGGGGATTACAGATTTTAGTCCAATTAACATATATATACACGTGAATGATACAAAAGAAAAATCATTGAAAATCTCCCAATAATCGTTTATTAGATTGAGATATCGCTTACCACTCAAGCGGCGGTCTCAACAAATAAAGAGTCTTTATAGAAACCAAACGGTTAAAGTGGTACAAGTTAGGGCTGCAAACGAGCCGAGTCGAGTCGAGTTTTTGCTTAGCTTGAGCTCGGCTCGTTTATTAATTTTTCAGCTCGAGCTCGAGCTCGGCTTGAATAAAAATAATCTAGCTCGAGCTCGACTCGGAAGAGCTCGATAAATGCTCATTAACATAGCTTATCAAACTTAGTACAAGCTCGGCTCAAGATGAGCTCGATTTAAAATCATTTTTGCTAGAAAAATATATAAACATAAGAATTTAAATGATAGAAAGAACACTAGAAACTATAAATAACATCTAAATTTCATACACATCTATATTAGAAGACAATGTTCATGTTTAAAATAGTAATTCATCCTTCCACAAGCTCAAAACAAGGCAGCTCGCGAGTTTAGCTCGACAAGCCACCGAATCAAGCTAGCTCGCGAGCTTATCAAGCTGAGCATGGTCTAGCTCAGGCTTGGCTCGTTAACCAACGAGTTGGCTCGCGAGCCGGCTTGTTAAATAACGAGTCGAGTGTCGAACGAGTTTTTCCCGATTCGAACCCCGAGTTGCTCGCGAGCGGCTTGGCTCATTTGCAGCCCTAGTACAAGTAGATCAAATTTCCCAAGAGCGTCGCAATTAATGGCTGCTTCGCCATCTGGGAGTCTCTCGGAACCCGAAGGGGAATCTAGCTCTTAGTTTAAGCTGCTTGAGATCACTCCCGAGTCCTGAGAAGGTAAAAGACAGACTTTTTGATTACCATGTGAGGTCAAATCAAAGAGAGAGAAGAACTGGAAAGACGGAATGAGAGTTGGTTTGTCGGTAATTCCCTAAACTCCCACTTCTCCACTACTGATCCAACAACAACATGTGGGGTCGATTTCTAACTTAGAATTATACCACGCATGCACTTGTACTCTAACAGGCGAGTGGACATGCAGAAGATCCTCCTTCGTTGAATCACTTGTCCTGTAAGGCCAGTGGGTAGCCCCGACTAAAATTGCGTAAACCGGAGCACCAATGAAATTAAAAACAAGAAAAAAAGTGTTATTAATTAATTATTACAATTTGTTTTGTCAAAGAATATTGTCTTTATTTGTTGTTGTGGGGCGGCGGGTTTTGTCTATACACGTGTTGTCCGGTTCGGCGGCCAAATACGGTGGATGACGACGGCTTCTAGAATGAGGACAATGCTGCAGGTGGGTCACCTTGCCGGCCGGCGGGACTAAACCATAATATACACCAATGTTTATTCGTACACATATATGTTGCTGGTTAAAAGAGGCCACAGTCATAATATTTCGCTTTTGTGATCCAAGAACTTTTAGTCGAGCCCTCCTCGCAAAGCAGTTTTGGAACCTGCAAACAAGATTACATTAATTGGTGGCTAGGTTAAATACTAACGACGTTTTAAAGTTGAGAATCGAAACAAAAACAAGACACGACTTTCAGTCACATGGTTCTGTGTTGTCGACCGCTAATACATCTTTCCTTGGATTGCTTCCCTTCATCGTAAATCCCCCGATTGAGACTAAGCAAAGTGGAGGCTGCTGCAACAAGGAACCACCACCCATCCGCCACCCGTTCGGTTCTGTTTCTCTGCACATATAGAATAGATAGGACCAAATTGTAATATTTGTTTACTTTGTGTATTGTTTTGTAATAGAGTAGAATAAGACTAATATATAAATGTAATATTGAACAATGTAAATTTTACTTTTGGTGAAATAAAATTGGATCCGTTTCTCTCTCATAACATGGTATCAGAGCACTTTCTCTGACTTCTTTCTTTCTTTCTTTCGCTTCCGCTTCCCATCTAGGGTTTCGTCTTCGCGACGATGGCTTCTTCGTCTTCGTTCCAGCCTCTGATTCCTCTCGCAGCGGCGCTTGCGCCGAATCACCCCTACTACATCAGCTCCGGTGATTCCTCGACGACGCAGCTCGTGTCAATCGTGCTCACCGGGCCGAACTACCACTCCTGGGCGAGATCGATGCGCTTCGGTCTTCTGTCGAAGAACAAGCTCGCCTTCATCGATCCAGCCGTTCCGACGCCGCCACCGGGCGATCCTCTCTACACCGCCTGGCAACAGTGCGATACGATGGTGCTCGGCTGGATTCTTCGCTCTCTGGCTCCAGATATCGGTCAGAGCGTCCTCTGGCTCGATTCCGCAGTCGAAGTTTGGAGAGATCTGAGCGAGCGCTTCAGCATCGCAGATCTTGTTCGCATCGCTGACCTTCAAGACGAGGTGTTCGCACTCAAGCAGGGTAACATGTCTGTAAGTGAGTTCTTCACTAAGCTTAGGGTTCTTTGGGATGAGTTGATGACCTATCGGCCGATTAAGTCCTGTGCTTGTGTCCCTAAGTGTTCTTGTGCTGAGTATGCGAGGTCTGACCAGATTATTAGGTTCTTGAGGGGTCTTGGTGATGATTTTGAGTCTGTACGTTCCTCGATCTTGTTGATGGATCCTCTTCCTCCAATCAACAAGGTTTTCTCTACTGTTGTACAGTTTGAGCGTCAGAATAGAGTGATTACTTCTGCTAGTGTCAATCCTTTGGCTTGTGCTGTTCAGAACAGTCAGTTTAAGAGTCAGTCTAAACGTCCTGTTTGCACTTTCTGTGGATTGACTGGTCACACTGTTGACAAATGCTTTAAGAAGCATGGTTATCCTCCTGGTTACAAAGGGAAAGCTAGGGTTAATGCTGTAGTTAGTGAGTCTAAAGCTACTGATGTATCTGTTTCTCTTGAGAACGGAGTTCAGAACTCCGATTCAGTTGTACTTACACAGCAGCAGTACCGAGCTCTTGTTGCTCAGCAGTTTTCCTCGAGTCAGTCTTCTGCACCTGTTGCACATGTCCCAGTGGCCAATGCATTTACAACAACTGGAGGTGCTTCTGATTCTTCTGCACCTTCCTCCTCTGGAGGTAAGTATGTTCTTGCTAATGGTCATTTGCCTCAAACTGAGGTCTCTTGGGTCATAGACAGTGGGGCATCGGATCATGTCATTTCCAGCTTAGATTACTTTAGTCATTATTCTGCTGTCAATGATGTGAATGTTTCTCTTCCTAATGGTGCCAAAGTGCGAGTTACTCACATTGGTTCTGTTTGCTTGACTGATGTGTTAGTACTTAGGAATGTGCTATATATTCCATTGTTTGGCTTCAATTTGATCTCTGTCAGTAGGTTAACCAAAGACACAACATGTTCTTTGACATTTTTTCACGATCACTGCATTATCCAGGATCTGGTCTCCCGCAAGCTGATTGGTACAGCTAGAGAGTCTGGTGGGCTTTATTACTTCACACCTACCTTCAGCAACTCTCTTCCTGCCCCAATCACTGCTTCCTCACCAGATTCCAGTTGTTTTTCTGTTGTCTTTGATACTACTATTCATGACATTGACATTAGCCACTATAGACTTGGACATGCTTCTTGTACTCCTTCGAACATTGTTATGTCTAAAGATTCTAATGTTGTTTCTCATAGATCTAAGCATTGCACTGTTTGTCCCATGGCTAAACAGAAACGTTTGCCATTCATGGTAAGTGAGTCTCATTCCCTTGCTTTGTTTGACTTGGTTCATATTGACATATGGGGTCCATATGGTGTTACTTCCATTGTTGGTTATCGGTATTTCTTGACCATTGTAGATGATTACTCTCGCAATACTTGGGTTTACTTGATGCATAAGAAATCTGAAGCTCGTGACTTGCTGATTTTCTTTATTAATCATGTTCAAACTCAGTATAATCTTAAGCCTAAAGTAATTCGTTCTGATAATGGACTTGAGTTTCACTTGCCTGCATTTTATAGTTCTTTAGGCATCATTCATCAAACCACATGTGTTGCTTCTTCACAACAAAACGGTCGGGTGGAGCGTAAGCAGCAGCATATCATTGCTGTTGCTCGTGCTCTGTTATTCCAGTCTTTCCTTCCTTCTAAGTTTTGGAGTCATGCTGTCTTACATGCCACTTTCTTAATTAATAGACTCCCTACTCCTGTGTTAGATAACAAGTCTCCTTATGAATTGTTACACCATTCTGTTCCTGATTATTCCACCTTTCGTGTCTTTGGTTGTTTAGTTTACATGTCTACCTTAGCACATAATCGTCCTAAATTTGACCCTAGAGCCCATCCTTGTGTGTTTCTAGGATTTCCCTTTGCTACTAAGGGTTGTAAACTCTACAATCTAGTTACCGAGTCACTGTGTGAGTCTCGTGATGTGGTTTTTCATGAAAAGATATTTCCTTTCTTTTCCAATGCTTTTTCTCATGCTTCGTCTGATTTTGTTTTTCCTGTTATTTCTGTCTCCTCAATGGATACCATTGCATCTCATGATGTTAGTGGTAATCCAGAGACATCTACCGGTTCGGCACCCGACCAACATATCTCCCCTATCCCCTCTCCTTCTTCTGATTCTTCAAATGATGATGATGGTGCTGCTCCTCCTGAGTATCCTCCATCTTTTGATGATGAACCAGAACCTCGTCCTGCACGAAAGAGACAACAGCCTCTTAAATTTCGTGATTACATTTGCAACTCAGTGGTTGATTCACGAGTTTCCTATCCATTATCTTCTGTTTTATCCACTAATAAGCTTGCTGACCACCATTCCAAGTTTGCTCTAGCTGTTTCTACAGTTTTTTGTCCAAAGACTTACAAAGAAGCATCCCAACACGACAAATGGAATGCAGCTATGGATCTGGAAATCGATGCTTTACTACGCACCAACACGTTTACAGTAGTACCAAAACCACCAGACGTCAAACCCATTGGTAATAAATGGGTTTACAAGGTAAAATTCCACTCCAATGGTACAGTTGAGCGAGAAAAAGCTCGACTTGTCGCCAAAGGGTACACTCAAACACCGGGCATAGATTACTTAGACACTTTTTCCCCTGTTGCTAAGCTCACTACTGTCCGGTCTTTACTTGCACTTGCTTCCATTAAAGGTTGGCATTTACATCAACTTGATGTAAATAATGCCTTCCTTCATGGAGATTTAGTTGAGGATGTTTATATGAAACTTCCTTTAGGTTTCAAAGTTGATGGTGACACTTCTAATCTTGTTTGCAAATTAAATAAATCTCTTTACGGTTTAAAACAAGCTAGTAGACAATGGAATCATAAGCTAACTGAGTTTTTGTTACAAGCTGGTTATATTCAATCCAAAGCTGATTATTCACTGTTTACTAAACATCAGGATGGTAAGTTCCTTGCTGTTTTGGTATATGTTGACGATATTATAATGGCAGGTGATTTTCTTAGTGAAATTGAGTCTCTAAAACAAAAACTTGATGATGCTTTTAAAATTAAAGACCTAGGCAATCTTAAGTACTTCCTAGGACTTGAAATAGCTAGAAATGAAACAGGCATCTCTGTTTGTCAACGTAAATATGTGCTAGACCTGTTGAAAGATTCTGGTCTGCTTGGTTCTAAGCCTGTTGCTACCCCTTGTAATCCTGGTGTTCGTCTCTCCATTAAATCTGGTGTTCTTTTGGATGATCCTGCTATTTATAGACGTTTAGTTGGCCGTTTATTGTATCTGTGCAATACCAGACATGATATTGCGTTTGCTGTCCATCAACTAACTCAGTTTATGAGTGCGCCAACTGATGTTCACTTGGCAGCAGCTCATAGAGTACTTCATTACTTGAAAGGCTCTCCTGGCCGTGGTTTATTTTTCTCTTCAAAGACTGATCTATCTCTTAAAGCTTTCTCTGACAGTGACTGGGCAGGTTGTCCTGATTCCAGGAGGTCCACGACTGGTTTTTGTGTTTTCTTAGGCAGCTCTTTGATTTCATGGAGGTCCAAGAAGCAGCAAACCATTTCCCGTTCATCAACCGAGGCTGAGTATCGGGCCATGGCTGATTTAACTTGTGAAATTCAGTGGTTACATTATTTGTTTGCTGATTTAGGCCTGTTTTTTGATAAACCTACTGCTATGTTTTCTGATAGTCAGTCTGCTATTAGGATTGCTGAGAATCCTGTTGCTCATGAGCGCACTAAGCACATTGAGCTAGATTGTCATTTAACCCGCGATAAGCTTGCATCTGGCCTCATTAAACTGTTACATGTTTCTACTATTAATCAGATTGCTGACTTGTTCACGAAATCGTTGCCTACTGCTGTGTTTTCAGGTCTTGTGTGCAAGCTGGGCACTCTTGACATCCATGCTCCAGCTTGAGGGAGGGTGTTAGTATATAGAATAGATAGGACCAAATTGTAATATTTGTTTACTTTGTGTATTGTTTTGTAATAGAGTAGAATAAGACTAATATATAAATGTAATATTGAACAATGTAAATTTTACTTTTGGTGAAATAAAATTGGATCCGTTTCTCTCTCATAACACATTCATTCATTGAATGCCGTCTCAACCTCTGCTAACTGCGACTGGTTTTGAACCATCGTCCCAAGCAAACGTCTCGTCGAACCCTTGGCCACATCTCACAGAAACCACCAAACAATCGTTTTCTCATTCGCTTTATGAGTAAGATTCCATGAACCATCTCTGTCTGATTCCTCAAGAGTACTGCGGCATGGTACAAGCGTAGTATTTATTGTCATTTTATCATCTGTCACTGCCTCCAACTTCTGCATTCGTCATCATGCAATGATGATGATTGGCGCCAGTGTTTTCCTGTTGACATTTGTAATCATCTAATCCTATTAAGAGATGCAACATGGAAGGTGATGTGCTAACGAGTTAGAGGCTATCAATCAAACCATGGGACTAGACTGTTCAAGGCTCTGCAGTTACCTCACGACTGAAGGAAGTTGCGGAAAAGGAGGTTTGATGCCTCTCGTCCTGCAGGCTCCACAGTCTCCGATCTCCTTTAACCGCAAGTAACTGTCAGCAACATGCTTAGACAATACCCTTTGATGCTGCAATGACTAGCTTGATAAATGAGTTTGCATAGCAAGGAAACAAAATAGACAGAAGCAGAAAGAAAGGCAGCATCATTAACAAAGACTGTGAGTTACCAATACGTAGGATTCGTGATAAGTATACGAGGAGAAGAAAATGAGAAACAAGAATGTGCTTATTTTGCGCATTCATCACCATGACTGTTGAAAGCAAACACAGACTTAAAACAATGGATGCTATCTGCTAGCAAATCGTTTTCACCATAACCACAATCACCCATGGTTGAGAAGAGTTAACTTCCCTCCTGCAACACTTGGGAAGTGCCAAAGTTTCAGAAACAACATACTCTTCTACTTCTCATGCACATGGTTACTTGACCTGCTCAAATTTTCCACCCATTAATACTTAGAAATGCCCTTTTGCAAACACCACAAACACATGACAGTTTCCCTGTTTGGCTATACACCGGTATGCAATAAAGGGATTAGTGTAATTCAATCATCAGTTTGAATCAATTATCCATCAAGCCTGCAACTGAATGAAGCACAGCAAAATGGATACCAACAATGCTAACAGTACCTTCATACCAAAAGGGGTAAATGAATAAGTAGAGAGTTGATGCCGTAGTTATGCAGCGAGGGTTAGCAATATCTTCCACTCCTGCACATAAAAACTGAGAAGATTGGCCAGAAACAACACTTTCAATTGAAGATTCCGCCTTTCCCCAACCCTAATAATGTACAACACAGGTAAAGTTCAAGCAACTGTTGGATACAGGATAGGTAAAACCAGTATGAAATTCGATACACATGAACAGAGAGTTGATCCAGAAGCACAATTCTCTAAAGCAAAACGATGCCCCGTTGCGCTGATCATTGAACCCTCAAACGAATTGCATATAAGGAATGGGTACGATTTGAGTAAATGGAGAATCAGAAATGCAAAATTTTCCTTTCCAAGCTGTCAAAACCCTAGAAATTTCACTGTGAAGAATCAAATCCTTTATTGCGCATCATTTACTAGGAGGGCTAACAAGAACACTGTATTTATAATGAAAGTTACAAGGAAAAGGGATTCAATGCTCTACTCCCCCAATCTCTACTTCCAATCAATGAGCAGCAACAACTACTTCGCTATTCAACACACTAATCAAAGACCCATTACTGCTACTACTGCTGTTACTAATACTATCGGCGGCGCCACCATTAGCCGGTTCCAAACCCAGATCGGAAGGGACCAAGCCAGCGGCTAATAGGACAGATCTAGCAGCGACGAGTTTCTTTCTGGTTAGGGATCGAGGGCCGTACAGCTTTGCCGAAAAGCAGGGGACGCCATCGCCGTCGGATGAGGGAACTCGTGGAGGGGAGTTGTGATCAGAATCGGGACGGGGCGGAGGAGACTTGGGTCGGAGAGATCTGGCGGCGCTGATTTTGGAGTCCCTGAGACGGGCGAGGGCGCCGGGCTTGAGGTAGCGTTGGAAGCAGCAGTGGGTCGGCTTGAGAGATCTGGAGATGCCCACCATTTTTGAGAGAGGAAGAAGTGAAGAAGAGGAGGCGATGGATGGATTAGGGAAGGAAAGTGGGGATAGGGTTTTGGAATTTAACAATGGCAGGGAGGGAAGGATTGTGATTGTGGGGGGGAAAAGGAGCGTTAGGGGAGCGGGAAAAATGAAATGAGGAGCGGTGGCGTTTAGGGGAAGCAACGATTAGGGTTTTAAAAAATGGCCATGGCGGGAATCAGGGGGTGCCGACGCGCGACTTTCCTAATCTAATCACGTTACCGTTTTCCGCGCTTAGTGCTTTCTCACTGTCCACTAATCTGCTTAATTATCCATTTTTTATTTAATTTATTTCAATTACAGTAGCCAGCGTGGATTTTGACCAACGGTTATTATTAGTAGCTGAGTTGGACCCGGAACAACGTAAAGATTGACCGTACCAGCCCATGTACTAACATATTACTAGGTTAGTAGTTTGGTTTGATTTTCCGGTTAAACCGAGACCAAAATTTCCCAATTAGGATTAAATCAACCAAGCATTACGAGATTCAATGGTGACTGACCTATATTGCTTTTCTTCTTAACATAGAGATGGATTAATCCTAAGGAATTCTATCTTGAAACTATGTAATTTGTTTGATGTACTGTGTGGTTGTAACATTTTTTTAGTGTGTACATGCTCATGTATCCAATGATAAAGCTAACATTCAATTTTAGAAGGTACTTACTCGAGAGTGATTCATTAGCTTTATGTTTCTCACACTTCTAGGATGAGCATTGATATTTACTTGTAGACTAGAAAGGAAGCCGCGCTACGTGGCGGGAGGTGAATTTAGTAATTTAAAACTATAGTTTGTGAGGAGGCCGAGCGACAATGCAATTATTGAGTGCCTATACAGAATAATGTGGAATGCAGAGATTTAAAACTGGGCAAAGGCTTTGATGTTTCAAAGGGATGGAAAAGGCACACATATGAACCGCACAACACTAATAAAAAATTCCCACTAATAGTGATTATATATCAATGGTTCGATCTAAGCTTGTAAAAGTTAAGAAAAAAGTGGTATTGTCTGGAAGGGATGCCAATCCAAATCTCCCAATGTAGCATCACCCACCCGAGCTACTTTAAGACACCACTACATAAAAGATTAAATGACAAATCATAATCATCAGTGTACTATGAACAAAGAATCAAAAAATCCAATACCAATCAAGTTCCACAAAGGGCAACTGAAACTACAAAAATAAACTCGAGAATAAGCTAGCCTGACAATCTTACAATTACCTGCCCCTTGTCAAAAGGAAGAAATGAATGGTTGAGTGTCCACCCCCAAACTTAAGGCTTCTACAACTTCAAGGTTATTGAAAACCATTAAAAACTGGAAAAGAGAGGATAACAGCACAGGTAGGAGTATATTTCAAGAGCTAAGAAGGAATATGACAGGTGCCTCATTGAACCGAATCTCAGTTTCACATAGGTGCCATGGCGACCACTCAAGCATTTGTGAATGAGTAAGTGCGAATGTGCGATGAAATTATTAGAAAGGAGCAAAACCAAACAATTTTATACATGCACAAAGAAAAAAATCAGACATATAACCTTTAGTATATACAACTTTCAAAAGGCAACTACATTTTTGCAATATATATAAAGAAAGAATCGGACATATACCTTAAAAAAACTCAAAAGTAATCTCAAAGTGGAAATTCCATGTCGAGAAAGGCCGTCATATAAAGAGTTCTTTCAAATGTAGAAATTAACATGCCATTTGGTGAGGGCACAATGTACAGTAGCTAAAAATTCATTTCGTTATAAGCAGCATAGAAAGGAAGGACAACCAAGCATGGATGAGGCTTAGTTTGAGGCATAATATCTCGAGGATAATTAAGAATCACAGGAAGGTAAGATGAAATATTGAGTGAGTGACTCTGCTCGTTACTAAGAAAAACAATGAGCAGTAATTCATGACACAACATAAAGCCCATTCCATGACGCAGTTGGGGTTTAAAATATTTTAGGACTTCAAATTGAACACCTATGCCATGAGAGAACAACTTTGCAAACCTTACTTACACCTCCTGCATATTGTTCTCACCAAAGCATTTTCAGGTCTAAGAATTAAAACTGTAAATGCTAGGCAATTCGAACTATAAATTAGAGACATGGAAGGCAATTGAAGCATTAAGTGGAAAAGCAACTGACTGAAACGAACATGAACTTTAATGTTAGGAACATTCTGTAAGCAAAACCAATCACTGTCATCCTAGTGTAAGCACCTTTTGCAACGATAAATCCCAACAGGGTCCAGTCTAACAGTACAAAAATTAGTAGATAAGAGCATGTTAAAATGATGGGAAGAGAGACAAAGAGAAAGAGGAGCTCACCATTATTGGCGGTTTGGTTTGACTATCACTTCCGATGAGGCTATCAAGAATTGATCCACCTCAACTGCAGCCCTGTCCCCAAATATAACACATAAGAACTCTGAAAACAAAGTGCAAAGAGCCTGGAAAACTATATTACAATTCAAATCGTACTACTTATCGTTTAACCATAGGTAGTAGTATGCAACACTGGTCTGATGATGTCGATGACTATTGCGGTATAATCCACTCTTCTAGCATCCAACGATTACATATAATCCTTCACAACCACCCAAAGAAGTAAAATACTATGAGTTGTTGGCACCTGTCAAATGGAACATATAATATTGTATTAAAAAGTTGGTTCACTAAAACAACGAAAGTATCAGGGGAAAAGATGGAATGTTTGGGGTCGTGACTTGTTCAGTGCAACCATAGATCTGTAAAATGCGAGAAACGAGTAAAGCAAAATAAGACGAGACACCGGGATTTACATGGTATCCCCGTTCAATGTGAATGGGACTAATCCACGGAGAGCTTGGATCTCTTGGATAAAAACTAATATGGTTGTCTTTGACAATTGTGTTGCTCGGCCACAAGGGGAACCAAGATACATAAAGGGAAAAACCCTAGCTCCTTTCCTCGTGTAACACGGAGCTGGGCAAATAACGATGTGGTCCCTAATTTAATAAATGATTACAATTAGGAATCACTACACTCCCCCTCAAGCGAATGAGTGAATGTCAAGAAGTCCGAGCTTGACAAAGAGATGAGGAAAATGATCCATACTCAAGCCCTTCGTGAAAAGATTTGCAGGCTGATCAGCGATAGCAATCTTGGTTGGAGCTATCTCGCCAGATTGAACACGCTCCTGAACAAAATGACAATCCATCTCGACATGCTTAGTACGCTCATGAAAAATCGGATTAGCTGCAATATGAAGGGCAACCTGGTTATCGCAAAACAAGACATTAGGACTCGAGGAAGGAACACCCAAGTCGCGGAGAAGCCATCGTAACTAGAGAATCTCACTGACTGCACTCACCATAGCCCTATATTCAGCTTCAGCCGAGGAACGCGCAATGATGATTTGCTTCTTGGTGCGCCAAGAAATGGGAGAGTCACCAAGAGTAATGAATAAGCCCGTCGTGGAGCGACGGGTGGTGGGATAGCCACCCCAATATGCATCACAAAAACCGGTCAGTGTAAGAGGAGTCAAAGCTGATAAAAAGAGACCACGACCTGGAGTGCCTTTAAGGTAACGGAGGACGCGAACAGTAGCATCCTCATGTGCCTGAGTAGGTGACTGCATGGCCTGATTGAGAAGGTTAGCGGCATAGGTGATATCGGGACGCGTGACTGTCAGATAGAGCAAGCGACCGATGAGACGCCGATAAGCAGCTGGATCACGGGCAGGAGGAGAAGGTAAACGCCCCAAGCTATGCTGCTGCTCAATTGGCGTAGAACAGGGGCGAGCAGCCGTCAAGCCAGTGTCGGCCAAGATGTCCAAGACGTATTTATGCTTATTAAGAACAAGGCCCTTGGGTGAACGAGCAACCTCAATGCCCAAAAAGTACTTGAGGTTCCCAATATCCTTGATAGTAAAACGATCGTGGAGAAAAGTCTTGACCTGTTGAATGAAGGACACATCATTGCCCATGAGAATGACATCATCGACGTAGATGAGAGCGACAACAAAGATAGAACCACGACGATAGATAAAAAGAGCATGATCAGCTCTACTCTGAACAAACTGAAGCTCTAATAAGGCCTGCGTAAATTTCTGATACCAATTACGAGAAGCCTGACGCAGACCACAAATAGACTTATGTAAGCGACAAACCCGAGTATCACCCGGACGGGAAAACCCTTGAGGCACAGTCATATAAACTTCCTCGTGCAAATCGCCGTGGAGAAAAGCATTGTTCACATCGAGTTGATGAATATGCCAACCTCGAGTGACAACAATGGCCAGTACACAACAAACAGTCACGAGCTTAGATACAGGAGCATAGGTGTTGTGAAAATCCACGCCCTCAATCTGAGTAAAACCCTAGGCAACAAACCGCGCTTTGTAGCGCTCAATGGAATCGTCAGGACGAAACTTGATCTTGAAGACCCATTTACAAGTAATGGCACGCTTCCCGGGAGGTAGATCAACCAAGGACCAAGTGCCATTTTCCACCAGCATTAATCTCCAGCTGCATGTCATCGCGCTAGTGCTTGTATCGCACCACCTGGAAAAAAATGAGTGGGCTCATCTATAGCAGTGATAGCGGCTACGAAGGCATGATGAGCAACCGAGAGGCGATGATAACTGATATAATCATCTAGAGGATATAATGTCTGGGCAGAGTGAGCTACTCCAGGGAGCTGAACATCGTAGCCTGCGAGACGAGTGTTGGGGTGACGAATTCGATCGCCACGACGAGGAGGACCTGGCTCGGGTGGCGAGGTAGTTGTCTCAGCGGACGAGGAAGGCGCTGAGGTGCTGGGAATTGGTATGGAGTCCGACATGTCCGAGAGAATGCTTGCCGGCTCGGAAGGGAACGAAGACTCCTGCATGGGCGACATGGACGTGGTCGGTGCATGCATGGGAGTGAGCACGTCCGAGATGGAAGTAGGAGCTGGGAGAGGAGTTGGCGATGAAGCTAAAAGAA